CACAGTACCCACAATCACTGAATTGTGGACATTGATTCCAACTGTCATCTCAGCCATTGGCATACTAACTCCAACATTCCACACACTTGATCGGAAAACTCTTATTGAACCAGAAACCCCAAAAAGTTCACCAACAAAGAAAATTGAAGGGAGAATTGATTTTCAAAGTGTAAAATTTAGCTATCCATCAAGGCCAGGAGTTGTGATTCTTACCAACTTCAGCTTACAAATCAAAGCAGGAACAAGGGTGGCTCTAATTGGACCAAGTGGAGCTGGAAAGTCATCCGTTTTGGCACTTCTGCTGAGGTTCTATGATCCTGAAGAAGGCAATATTCTTATTGATGGGAAGAATATAAAAGAATACAATCTGAGAATATTGAGGACACAGATTGGGTTTGTGCAACAAGAGCCTGTTCTGTTTAGTTCCTCAATCAGATATAACATTTGCTATGGAAGTGAGCAGGTCTCTGAAACTGAACTTTTAAAGGTGTCAAAAGAAGCCAACATACATGAATTTGTCAGTACTTTGCCTGATGGATATGATACACTAGTTGGAGAGAAAGGTTGCCAACTGTCAGGAGGACAAAAACAGAGAATGGCAATTGCTAGAACTATATTAAAGAAGCCAGCAATTTTGCTGCTAGATGAACCAACAAGTGCATTAGATGCTGAATCTGAAAGAAATTTAGTGAGAGCTTTAGAGTCAATAAATGAGAATAATGGCTTCAGAGCTACCCAGATTACTGTTGCCCACAGGCTCTCTACAGTGACAGACTCAGATGTTATCATAGTCATGGATAAAGGTGAAATTGTGGAGATAGGTTCGCATACCACCTTGTTAACAGGTTCTGATGGAGTGTACTCAAAGCTCTTCAAGATACAGAGTCTCGCTGATGATTAACATCTTCAATCATTACAGGTAGGATTCTTAAGTATAATATCCTTGTACAAAAGACACCTATAATGATTAATTCGTTGAAAACTTCTGCTTTCTATTATCAGGTAAATCTGAAAATAGGTTCTTAAAAAAGGGAGCTTTTTGACCTTAAACACATCAATGAGTTGTGTCTCAGAGAATAAAGAAGTTCAACATGTTCATATAGGGCTCCAGAGAGATGTGATTAATTGTCTTCGTTATTAATATTCATGGGATTCATGATGTTCCATGTCAAAATCAATTCTCAATAAGAGGAGTAGTCCATGTTTATTACAAACCTATGTAAGGTCCATTTTCTTTTCAACGTGGATCCGTAACATTCATCAATTCCAGATCAAACCCAGTAGCTATTAGTAAAAGAAAAACTAAAAAAATTACATTTCTAAACTAAAATTAAAGGACGAAAATGTATCTATTGACGATGAAATCAGAACATACAAAGCATAATCTGTAACCAAGCTACCTAGTCCAAAAGTATGTGAAATTTAAGTGAACTTGAAGATGAACAAACACAACGAGAAAACATATACACATACAAACAGATTTTTTTTAGTACAATATGTGGGGTGGGGGATCGAACTCACAACCTCTTGGTCGGAGATATATACCAATTACCGCTGAACTATGTTCGCTTTGACGGGATGTAATATGTTGTAATTAGCATCAACATGAGCTGAATTTAAAAATAAAAGTTGTAATATTTATGTTATCGATAATAAAACTAATTCTCAATACCCCACTTATCATATCTGACTATTTTTATTATGAAGTCAAGAGGTAGGATTAGTGAATATTTTGTTCAAAATAAGATTGATATTATTTCAAAATGGGGAATCTTTTCCTAACAGAATAATTGGATGATATAAATAAAATATAGTAACCATTTTTAAACAAATACTATAGGGGGCTAATATATCACTCTTGAACCTAATTTGGTACACCCAATTAAACTATTTACTTTACTCGATCATATCATCAATATGATTGGCTACGACTCTCTTTTATTTAAAGAAAACGTCGGTTACTCCATGTCACGATCACATTGCGACACCCCGCGATTCATTTCCTTTGTTTTAAACAGCACAGCAAGCAGCCCTTATCATCCATCAGCACAAAACAACAGTCAGATAAAATCAAGAAGAAAGGCCACTTCAGTGCACTTTTTAATCTTCAAAATTTTAATATTTCATTTGGAAAACAGCATATCCCCTGAACATTCTTTTGCTTCACTTCAGCAACTTTGGATCTGTAAATAATATATAATGGGGGGAGTTTTTGCTTGTAATGTAATTAAATTAAAAGAGTGTAAATTACAAGATGATTCATGAAGAGAAAGAGGAAGAAGATGCCACCATTATTGTTGATGGTGCTTTGCCATTTTACAAGCTTCTTGGGTATGGAGATGCTTTGGATTGGGTTTTAATGGCTTTGGGAACTTTTGGGGCAGTTGTCCATGGCATGGCTCAGCCAATTGGGTATCTCTTGCTTGGAAAAGCTCTCAATGCATTTGGAAATAATATTGATGATCTTGATGCCATGGTTGATGCCCTCTATAAGGTATGTTATGTTTTGTATATATGCATTATTGTTGTTGTTCATGCAATCACCTTAAATATATATCTTTGAATAAAGTTTTATTCATTTCCAGTTTTGAAATTTTCGTGATGTTTGATTTTGAATCATGAATGTGAAAAGATGTCTCAACTTGAACATAACTGATTAAGACGTATCTCCGACTAAAAGGTCATAGGTTTAAATCTCTATTTACACATTTTGTACTAAAATAAAAGTGAAAAGATGGTTTTTAAAATTTCAAAATTAATAAATGTGTTGGAAGCATGTTGTGGATATTTTGACTAAATGAGCGAGAAACAAAATCTATTGTATTGCAATTTGAGTTGTGCTCTCATATAATATATATATATATATATATATATATATATATATATATATATATATATATATCTTAAAATGAACACAGAGATACTCTTTTATGTTTTGAATTATTCTATTAAAAATTATAAATGTCGATATTGATAAATATCAAAAATCTCAATTTTATAGAGATAGTCAATAAAAATATCGATCAGATGTCAGACATAGACTAATATTTCTCAAATTTTCTAAAAATAAAAAAATCATAACAAATAAGCATTTCACCCTCACCCTCCTTAAATAAGTTAAAAGTTCATTAATATTAACATTCTGTCCCTAATAGAGACATTTGAAGTTAAGAGCGCTGTGTATGGCAGGTGGTTCCATTTGTATGGTACATGGCCATCGCCACTTTGCCAGCAGGAATACTTGGTACAGTAATAATCCCTCTCTTTCCTTAACAGATTTAAATAAAATTACTTCACAGTTCACAGTTCACAGTATACTTACATTTTTCTGATTCTAGAAATTGGGTGTTGGATGTATGCAAGTGAGAGACAAACAGCTCGTTTAAGACTGGCATTCCTACAATCAGTACTTCGCCAGGAAGTTGGTGCTTTTGACACAGATCTCACCACTGCCAAAGTAATCACTAGTATTACTTCCCACATCAGCATTATTCAGGACGCCATTGGAGAAAAGGTAAAGAAAAAGACCCATATCCCACAATAGTTTATTATCAAGTTTCAGAGGGATAAAGAATTACTTACTCTCTCTATGCCTTGGAAAATGCAGCTGGGGCATTTTCTGTCGAGTTTGGCGGCTTTCATCAGTGGAGTAGTGATTGCCTCCATAAGCTGTTGGGAAGTTTCATTGCTCACTTTGTTGATTGCTCCATTGATTCTGGTGATTGGAGCTACTTATACCAACAGGATGACTGCCATTTCCTCTCTCAAGATGGCTTACCAATCCCAAGCTACTTCCTTGGTGGAGCAGGTAAATATGACATCTGAATTTGTGTAGAAGATGTTACCATAGCATTAGCTATGTTACAACATAGGCATATGCCTAGTTCTCGTGATTTACTCTGTAAAGTTGAGCACCTACATATTAAGAGTCGGAAAGGGTTAGTCCAACCAGTATGTCACATTCTCATTTAATAAACGATGTTAATAGTAGAAACTACATATAATCACAATCAAACTTTTAGGCTCCTTTATAGATTAAAGATTAGGTAAACATAACCATCAAAATTATACGACAGAAATCTATAATTTAATTTATAGAAAACAAACCAAATAACTGATATGTATAGAGCAGTCAATATCTCAAATCCGAGCAGTGTATGCATTTGTCGGGGAGAGAGGTAGCATGAAGGCGTTTTCAGAGCAGTGCGAGAAGCTGGTTGTGATGAGCAAGCAAGAGGCATTGGTTAAGGGAGTGGGCATAGGAATGTTTCAAACTGTGACCTTCGGCTGTTGGAGTCTCATTGTATGGATTGGAGCCGTTGTGGTAACTGCGGGAAGGGCCAGTGGAGGGGATATCATAGCTGCCGTTATGAGCATTCTCTTTGGAGCAATGTAAGTAAATCTAAAACTACACTACTTGAGAAACAATATCAACTTAAAAAAAAAAACATATGATCTAAATTGATATAAAGATGTGAAATTTCATGTTCCAAGTTCAACAAACCTCAAATGAAAAATCTTACTCTCTTTTCTTTGGTGGGTTGCAGCTCGCTGACTTACGCTGCACCAGATATGCAAATATTCAACCAGGCAAAGGCAGCAGGGAAGGAAGTTTTCCAAGTCATTCAAAGGAAGCCACCTGCAATTGACGGTTCAGGAGAGAAGACATTGGAAAATATTGAAGGCAACATTGAAATACGAGAAGTACACTTTGCTTACCCATCTCGTCCTCAGAAACTCATCCTTCAAGGCTTCTCTTTGTCCATTCCAGCAGGGCAGAACATTGCCTTGGTCGGTAGCAGTGGGTGCGGAAAGAGTACCGTCATCTCCCTCGTCACTAGATTCTACGACCCTCTTCGGGGTATGCCTCACCAGCCTTTTCGCTTTTCTTCTCTATCTCTTTTATTTTTCAAGTCTTCTTAGTCTGGCTTGCATGTCACTTTGATAGTAGATGCTTTAGTCACTCAAATTTCGATATTCCTTTTTATTTCTCCTTTCATGTCAATCTTGAGACAGTTTTGCAAATTATTCAGGTGACATCTTCGTCGATCATCGAAACATCAAGGATTTGAATCTGAAATTCCTGAGGAAAAACATAGGAACAGTTTCACAAGAACCTGCACTTTTTTCTGGCACCATCAAGGATAACATCAAGATGGGAAATATGGATGCAGATGACCAACAGATAGAAAATGCAGCAGTGATGGCAAATGCACATTCTTTTATATCTAACCTTCCAGAAAAGTACTTAACAGAGGTAAAACTATTTAAGTCGATGCAGTTTTCCTTCCCTATCTATGAAATTTTGAATTTTATTCCAGCATTCAAAAGTTTCACTTGATTTGAATTTTGAATAATTCAAAGGGATTGCCTTTTATTAGAGGATTCTAACACATGAGACCGAAACGTTTCTGGGCTTCAGTTAAGAATATTTTTTATAGGTGAAAAAACAAGCTCCAAAGGGGTAAAAGGACATGAAACTTTAAAGAACATTCATATTAATAAGAAACCACTGTAAGCACGTTACAGATGCATCCCTGTTCCAGTTAAGAGTGCCTTCAAAATATCTGTTTCTTCTAAGATGGGTTCAATGAAAAAAGAACAAAAAAAAAGATGGGTTCAACGAAATGAATAAGTATTGTGGATACTAATTTCAGGTTGGACAAGGGGGAATCCAACTATCAGGGGGTCAAAAGCAAAGAATAGCTATTGCAAGAGCCATTCTCAAAAACCCACGAATTCTTTTACTGGATGAGGCCACAAGTGCATTAGATTCAGAGTCTGAGAAGTTGGTTCAGGATGCCCTTGAAAAGGCCATAGTTGGGAGGACAGTCATTGTAATCGCCCATAGAATGTCAACTATTGTTGGTGCAGATATGATTGCGATCATAGAAAATGGAAGAGTTTCAGAAACAGGAACACACCAAAGCTTGCTCGAAACAAGCAGATTCTATAGCAACTTATTTGGCATGCATAATATCAGACCAGTTCAAGACTCAAGGTTTGTTCATACTAAAATATACCAACTTTACTTCTGAAAGAAAACAAAAACAACTAACCAGTATGAATTGTTTATTAATGGACAGCAATCCAAATTCGTCTTCAGAATCAGGGAGTACCCATCAGGAAGCTTCATCTCGTGACCTTGATCAAGACCATAAACTTAAGGAGCCCATAAATTCTGAAATAAATTCTTTGGACCAAGAAGAGAGTGCGAGATCAAAAGAAATATTCTTTAGAATCTGGTTTGGCTTGAGCAAAATAGAGATTATGAAGACTGCTTTTGGATCCTTTGCAGCAGCTTTGTCTGGCATTTCAAAGCCTATCTTTGGATTCTTTATCATAACAATTGGGGTAGCCTACTATCACACAAACGCAAAGCACAAAGTTGGATTATACACCCTCATTTTCTCTATGGTGGGATTACTATCACTTTTTACGCACACCTTGCAACACTATTTCTTTGGTGTAGTGGGAGAGAAAGCAATGAAAAACCTCAGAGAAGCTCTCTATTCAGGTACAACTTAAGAACACTTGTCTGATATTGTGAAGTTGTAAATAGCTTCTAATACTTACCATACTAATCCAACTCTACCGATGAATTATTTCAGCTGTACTACGCAACGAAGTAGCTTGGTTTGACAAACCTGAAAACAATGTTGGTTCACTAACATCACAAATAATGAACACCACCTCCATGATAAAAACCATAATAGCTGATCGTATGTCTGTTATTGTACAATGCATCTCCTCCATTCTAATCGCCACCACTGTCAGCTTGATCGTCAACTGGAGAATGGCTCTGGTTGCTTGGGCTGTCATGCCTTTCCACTTCATTGGTGGCCTAATACAAGCCAAGTCTGCCAGAGGATTTTCAGGAGATTCTGCTGCTGCTCATCATGAACTAGTTTCATTGGCCTCCGAGTCAGCAACCAACATAAGAACTATTGCATCYTTCTGCCATGAAGAACAAATAATGAAGAGAGCCAGAATGTCATTAGAAGAACCAAAGAGGAAAAGCAAGAGAGAGAGCATTAAGTATGGAGTCATTCATGGCATGTCCCTTTGCTTATGGAACATTGCCCATGCCATTGCTTTGTGGTACACGACAATTTTGGTTCACAAAAGACAAGCCTCCTTTGAAGATGGCATAAGATCATACCAGATTTTCTCTCTCACAGTACCCTCAATCACTGAATTGTGGACATTGATTCCAACAGTCATTTCAGCCATTGGCATACTAACTCCCGCATTCCATACACTTGATCGGAGAACTCTTATTGAACCAGAAACACCGAAAAGTTCACAGATGGAGAAAATTGAAGGGAGAATTGATTTTCAAAGGGTAAAATTTAGATACCCATCAAGGCCAGAAGTTGTCGTTCTTACCAACTTCAGCTTACAAATCAAAGCAGGATCAAGGATGGCTCTTATTGGACCAAGTGGAGCTGGAAAGTCATCCGTTTTGGCACTTCTGCTGAGGTTCTATGATCCTGAAGAAGGCAATATCCTTATTGATGGGAAGAATATAAAAGAATATAATCTAAGAATATTGAGGACACAGATAGGGTTTGTGCAACAAGAGCCGGTTCTGTTTAGTTCCTCAATCAGATATAATATTTGCTATGGGAGTGAGCAGGTCTCTGAAACTGAACTTTTAAAGGTGTCAAAAGAAGCTAACGTACATGAATTTGTCAGTACTTTGCCTGATGGATATGATACACTAGTTGGAGAGAAAGGTTGCCAACTGTCAGGAGGACAAAAGCAGAGAATAGCTATTGCTAGAACACTTTTGAAGAAGCCAGCAATGTTGCTCCTAGATGAACCAACAAGCGCATTAGATGCTGAATCTGAAAGAACTTTAGTGAGTGCTTTAGAGTCAATAAATGAGAATAATGGCTTCAGAACTACCCAGATTACAGTTGCCCACAGGCTCTCTACCGTGACAAACTCAGATGTTATCATAGTCATGGATAAAGGTGAAATTGTGGAGATAGGTTCGCATACCACCTTGTTAACAACTCCTGATGGAGTGTACTCGAAACTCTTCAAGATACAGAGCCTCGCTGATGATTAATATCTTCAATCATTCCAGGTAGGATCTAAGTATAATATTCTTATACGAAAGATTGCTACAATGCTCAAGTCATTGGAAATTTTGCTTAATATTATCAGGTAAATCTGGTAATAGGTTCTTACAAAAGGAAGCTTTCTGAGCTTAAACACATCAATGAGTTGTGTCTCAGAGAATAAAGTAGTTCAACACGTTCATTTAAAGCTCGAGAAACATGCTATCAATTGTCTTCAGCAATTCCAGATTCACCCCAGCAGCAATTCCCGGATCAATATAACACAACTGCAAAAGAATATAAAATACATAGTCTCCATCCAATAACCAGAAAGCTTAGCTTATAAGTCTATTATAAAGTAAGGCGAACCTGGTATTGTGGCTTATTTAGCGTATGAATTCCTCTTTTTATTTGTTTCTGCCATCCAATATTTCCTCTAAGGGATCTTTCAAGGCCTTTTGTACTCTGCGTAATATAGCAAAAGATCAGGAGAACCCAGAAAAACTAGAAAGTGAAAAAAAAAATGCAATTCCTACAATAATTAACCAACTGAAAATTCCAACAGCAAATAGGGTGAGGGAGAAGAGTCTCCGTTGTGTGTGTGTGTTTGTGTGAAATAAAAACTTTTATGAAGAAAAACAAAGACATTTAATCAATAGAATTTCACTTAATAAGTTAAGTTGTTTCAAAAAAAAAACAAAAAACAAAAAACTTAATAGGTTAAGGAAAATATTAAACTATATCATTTGGCAAGTAGCCTACAAAAATTGATTAAATTAATAAATATAGCTTGGTAAAATTCATTTACTGTAGCTATTAGCAGGAAAGAAAGAAAGAAAGAAATAAAAAAAAAAAAATCTACAACAACTACTATTTTCAACCATTTTTAGAACTTTAAAACTTAAATGTAAAAACATTGCATTTTGAAACTAAAATTCAAGGACTGAAAAGTAACTATCTACGATGGAATCAAGACATACAAAGCATAATCAAGCTACCTAGTCCAAAAGTATAAGAAATTTAAGTGAACTTCAAGATGAACAAACACAATGGGAAAATTGCATGCCAGCTAAAATACCCCAAGTACTAAATTAAGAGAATTTTGGAGGACCTCTATACCGAATGATGAGTGGGAAATGTTGAAGCTACAGAAGTAATTTTTTCAGTTAAAATTTGGGAAACAAAGAAAAATGACAGCTGCAAAGATAGGGGTCACGGATGAAATTGCAGGGCAGAAAATTACATGAGCTGGGTCCAAAATCAGAAGATTGTATTGCTGCACTCCATTACGCTGATGCTTAACTTGAATCCCCACGATGGTCCTTGAATGTCCATCATGCTGAAAGAACAATGGCCTGATTGAAAAAACCTCATGAAGTTAAAGATAACGATGATACATTCTTTCTTGTATTGATGAAATACATTCTTTCTTGTATTGATGAAACTTTGTCGATACATTCAATGAAATCGTTAGAAACGCGTCATGATACCTTCCAGATTAACACGCTAATGAAGATGTACGTGATGTATTTTTTTTATATACAAAAAAACACTCTCCAATTGGTTAAAAATAATAGAAATAGAATAATTAAAAGAATCCTTCCAAAGACTCCAAGTAGAAGCATTGAGATAGATGATATACTAAGAATTTTCCTAAAAATTATCTCAATCAAAACAATCTATGATTCATCTGAAGCCAAACACATAATAGACATACAAATGGATTTTGGGATAAAATACAAAAGGAAAAAAAAGGAGAGAGGAAAGGAAAAAATGAAGATCAACTGCCAATCAAAGACATACGATTTTTCACTAATAATAACGTGCTGGTGACCATATTTGCGTACCCCTCCATCAGAGAAGTAATTCCATACCCAATCAACCAGAATCTGATGATCTTTCCCTTTTTGTGTGGACTTATTTTTTACGACACTTGGAGAGATTTTAAAATATTTGGACTTTTCATGCTCACTAGAACCAGTTTGCGGAAGATTATCACTGCTACTGACAAGATACCTATCCATAGGCCCATAAACCTTAACTGCTTTTCTCTTATTTGCATCAATTAAGTTAACCATTTGTGCCCCATTACTTGAACCAGGGACTGAGAGATAATGTGTCTCGCACTCCTTAGGACCAAAATCAACTATCCTTGCCTGAAGCCCAAAGTATCGTAAAAGGGCAGCACATTCAGTAGTTCCAATCCAATTTCTTCTGCCATAAATTTTGTAATTAAACTGTTCTGCACCATGTACATCAAATCCACTTTCCCAAGCTATCTCAAGCCATCTCTGAAGTGATGGAATATCAGGAACAACACCTGATCCGCCAAATAAAGTCTTTCTTGCTTCTGGTCTTTGAACAATCAAATGAGAGCAGAGCATTTGAATGTTCCGCCATCCACAGCCCCACCCAAGATCCTCAGATTCGATACTCTGATAATGGTCAACATACCCTGACAAAATACTAGTCGAGTCACCCGATTCCAATTCTAAACAGTTTCTCAATAAAGAAATCAGACCACCTTCCACCTTATAAAAGGAACTCCTATCCTGTAAACCAATCAGGCAAGAGATCTTTTCACTAACATCCAACTCATCCTTCACCACACTCCCCACATCACATCTTAACTTTCTGGTACCAAAAGATTCCTCATAGTTCATCTCGTATGGCATATCCACGGTTACTTGATTACTCTACAAACAAGAATCATACAGGAAGGAAATTACTGAAATGAAGCCGTATGGATTGCACATACAGAAACAAGACATTGGAATTAAACAAAGAAAAAAAAAAGATGGAAGAATTAAGTTACATTGTCACAAGAAGGGGACGAAAGAGCCATTTGTTGGGCAAACTCGAAGTCCCTGGCGAGTTGCTGCTGTTTATCGTCACTGTCTTCATCCTCAAAGTGACCATTGGCATGCCTGCAACGGCAATAAGATAAAGTTTCCTTCCTCAGTGGTTCAGTAAACCCTAGCTACAGAAGTTTTGGAATCAAAAAGTGAGCAAAGTTTTCATACGACGATCTAAAGAGTGGATTGCGATCACAAGAGAAAATATAGCAAGTTACAGAGTGATTGGCAACAAAAAGCGGTAAAAATGGTACCGCTGAAGTTCTTCGGATGGAACAATTTGATCGCAGAAGGGACAACTCGATGAATTCATGAATAAAATCTTTCAGAAGTTTTGTCTTATCAAAACAGAGAATGAAAGATTTGGGAAGACATACTGTTCGGATTTTTCTTTTTTTTTTCTCTCATTATGGAGAAGTCTCGATTCGATGGTTGTATTAAAAAAAATTATCAATAGAATGCGAATGTATTTGTAATTAAGCATAAATAAGGAATGGTATAAATTGCTCAATATCTGAATTTCGATTCCAAAAAATTTTAATAAACGAACTAAGAGGAATTTTGATTCCAATTTCATAAAATTTCTGAAAAACAATATAACATTATTTCATTTCAATTAATTTCTATTTCGATTCATTCTTATTCTGATTCTATAACATGTCTTAAAACAAATATTTCACAATTCATTATTTTTTTTTAAAACTTCAATTTTTGCATTCCTCTCTTTTAATTGAATTATCGAACATGAGAAGAATAAAGAGAGTCCGCTCGTTAGTGTGGAGTAAAGTATTTTTCTTTTTTAAATCATAAATTTAGTCATAAACTCTCCATTAGTTTTTTTTAGACTTTTAATATTTTCGATTCTTAGAATTTCAATTTTATGTTAAATAAATTCTTGAGTTTAAAAAGTCTTAAGAACTCAATTAAAATGTCGGGTTCAATATCTCATATTCACATTTGTTGTACCAAAAAGAAAAAAAAAATCCTCATTTTATCTTCATTATTTATTTTTCAATCATCATATCTTGCTGTTTTGTTCCAATCTTTATATTATTTCTTCTTTTTCTTTACTAATTTTTTCCTTTTAAAAGTAGGTTTTACTTTAAATTCTAAATAAATAAATAAAATGAGAGATTCTTGCTATATTTCATTCTGGGGGTGAGGATTCAAATTCATAACTTTTTAGTAGGAGATAAGTGTAGGTAAAGCGAAATAGTTTTTTTTTTTTTCTGATTACCGAAGAGTCAACGGCCGTTTGACCTTTATGCCCCTATACGTGGGGTATAGACGTTTCATGTGACTTGAAATCAAGATCCAAAGGATATTCCTTGAAACTCCAAAATGGAGGAAATAGTTAAAAACTGCACAGAAAACTAAAAATTCTTAAAATTACATGATAATTTTTTATGGTTGAATTGGATCATTTTTTTTTAGTTTTACTTATATGAGCTTTGTGGATTTAATTTCGCTGATTTATCAATTAGTATTGGATAATTTTCTACCTCGGTTACAAGAAGAAGGTTAATCTTATTACTTATTCATATTCATAGATTGATTTCTTTTACATGTGGAGTAGAAATTTAAACTCACGATTTTTTAATCGAAGATATATGTTTAATTAGTTAAACTATGTTTAAACAGACAAATTCAACGTGAATAAAATAAAATTTTAAAGTTAAACAATTATTTCGTTTAATTAAGCTAGTATGGTATTTAAGAATGCCTTTTTAAAGAATATATTACACAAATCCATTTTCTATACACATTGCATGGTTATGATTTTTTAAGGACTAATACTTACCTACATTACTCGCTCAATAATTTTCAATATAATGGTGATTTGCATAGATTTAGGTCAAGAGATAAGTATTAAATTCTTTTAAGTGGCAACTAATGAAGTTATAACTATAGTGATTAATTATACAGCACATTTTCCATAATTTTGAGGGGATAATTGCTCAAATATAAAGTTTTAGTACAACCGTGTGGGGGTAGAAATTCGAACTCACAATTATATTATTAAGGGTAGGTACTTTTTAACCAGTTAAATTATGCTCAAATTGACTAATAATTTTACATTTTAGATCTTTAAAATTAGGGTAATAAATCACAAAAACTACCCATAAAGTAAAATGATTGTTATAGGATTATAATAAGTTTCTTACGCTCAGTTTGGCATCCGGAATTGGTAGGAAATGATTTCAAATTCTTAATTGCGTTTGTAACCAAGATGATTCTAAATCATTGAAATTAAAATTTATTGTTTGGATGTTCACAACATGGAAAGAAAGTATAACATTTTACTATTATGCCCATAATATTTTGTAGAGTATTTATTATTAATAATATAATACTTTAATATAAACTAGTAATTTTAACCATGTAAAACATAAATAATTAAATCAACCTAAAAAAAATTAAAACTTGTCAACGTCACCTTTATTTTAAAAACTAAACTAAAGAAAAAGTGCAAATGTCTTGATTCAAATATTAAAAAAAAAAAACTTAAAATCAAACAATTTCAATTTATTCTAATAAGGTGGGTGTGTTTTCTTTTTATCACAGTTATTTAATGATATGCAACACTAAAAAATAACAGCAAAAGAATAAAACAAGAAAAAAAATATAAACATAAAAACATAAGATCTTAACAATATAGAAATATTAGAAAAATTAAATAGAAAATCAACATTAAACTGTGATCCAAAAGAAACAATGGAAGGAGGGTCCGTTTATAACTTTTAGAATTAAAAAAAGAAAAAGCTATGATAAATAACTTGAAACTAATTTGGTTGAAGATATACAAAACATGGACGTTATAGTGATAAGTATTTTTTCTAAGATAAAATCGGAATTCGTTATGTTTAAACCTAAAATCCTCCCAAATCTGATTTATTTGGAACGGAAAATATTTTAACCAAACAACTGAAATCATGATTTCAAATTCTTTTTCTTTTATCCATTCAAACAAGTTTCAAAATTGGTTAAGATTTGAAATCCCTCCGATTCCAAACAGATTATAACAATAATCCTATAAGTTTAATATTTTTTAATGGAAAATATTAAACCCCTCCACTTACATTATTGTAAAAATTGGTCCCCTCCATGCATCAAATACATGTTATTATTAAAAAAAAAAACTTAAATAGTTTTTAAATTCCATTTTGATTAACTTTTAATTGCACTCAATCCCATTGATTAACCCTTGCAATGAAACCCAACTGCTCACAGAAAATTCAAAGATATATCTAAAGCATGAAAACCCTCCCCAAGAGATCGACTTTGTTTTTTCGAAGGTCCAATAATCAGTGGCGGATCCAAAAATTTTGTTGAGGGGGGCTTCATACTAATTTTAATTTTTAAGTAAGTAATTCACGAATTTATAAATATATGACTTTGAGGCTGGTGAGACTATTTTTATAAATATGTCCTATCAATTTTCTTTTATTGTATCTCCATTTAGATTATAAAAGTATTAATAAAAAGCTAAACATAAATAAGAATGATAATAATTATATGTATAAAAGCAATTGATCAAATATGACAATTTTAATCCTCAAATTGTTGACTTCTTTGGATTCTTCAAAATTGAAACTAAAAATTATATAAAATAAGAACAAGTGAGTATGAATATTAAAAAAATAATGATTTAAAGTGAAGGGAAAAAATATCAGTACAATAATTTATAGAAAAAATATTAATAATATGTAACTCAATATATAAATTAAAAATAAAAATAAGTTTGGAAATGGTTAGCAACAGTTAGACCATAAATATGACAAATGATGTATAAATTAAAAATATTTTTTAAAAAAGTAGAAGAGGAGTGACTACCAGATTTAAAATGAGAGTTTAAATGTCTCATTTACTTATATATTTTCTTCCTTTTTTCTTTATTAAAAATCGACATATTTTTTTAGAAAATTTGCAATCTTTTATCTCTTTATTTTCAATTTTTTTTAATTGTTATGATTTTCTTTTCCTTATTTAAAAATAAAATTGACAAATTTTTTCCAAAAATATATTACATTTTTATATATTTATTCAATATGTTAAGAAGTTCGAGCCCCCCTCGACCCAACGTGCATCTGCCCCGGCCAACAATGGCGGACAAGAGGAGCTTATAGAACCCAAAATTTCCTTTTTTATGTATACGTGAAACTTCGTTCATAAATTTCTTGTCTTTGTAATTATGATACATCTACCATTTTGCTAAATTAGAGTGCTTTTATTTAGTCTCATTTTATATATGTTTCTCGTAACGAATGTTTCATCTTCTATAATTGGGAAAAGTTTGCAAAAAAATAAAAAATAAAAATTTTTGTCTTTGGATGTAAGTTTTCTTGTTAAAAATGGTGAATTAATGGAAGATAAATTCTTTTAATTTTTTTTTCATAATAATGATAGATTTAAGAGAATGGACCAAAATTTTTACCATTGCAAGTGTGAAGTATTTAATTTTTGCAATTAAAAATTCAAATAGGATTATAACAATTACTCTAAAAATCAATATGTAGTACCCCTTGGCAGGGCCCAAATGGGGCACAAATATGATATATAATTAAAAAGAAAAAACAAAAATATTAATCCCCACCAAGAGGCCAGGAGAATTTATATTCCACCTTTACAACTCTTTTGGTTCAACAATCGTAGAGGTGGGTCATCGAACCATAACATTTAAGATGATAGTAGGTATCTCATTGCTATGCTTTGAATTGACATATTTCACGTTTACGTTTTTTTTTTTTATATCCGGGGTTGCTCCAATCACCACATGAAAGAGTATGAGATCCTCAAAAAAAAAAAATTCCATAACAAGTAGATACTTCCGTAGGAGCATAATCGATTTTCTGGTTAAATACATTATGAGATGTTTTTCCATACTTTCCGCATTCAATTCTAGCTATTTCCGTGCCTTTTGATTGACCTAAACAACATATACGGATCCCCTCAACCCTTTTTTCACTATGGCCGACTTTCGTCTCTATTCGACCAGTCGGTCTCACAGTCAGGCAGGCTTATACCATTACGCCACCCGCCTGCTGGCCGGACGAATCGAAGTTCTCTTACGGGTGAGTGTCCGGACGAACTTACGTGCACCTCGACTAATTTCATAGACAACTGTCTAACTCTACAATATTTAGTGTTGGGAACACAAAGAAATTATTAACGTTTAAAACAAGTTTCAAAATTTGGTGGACATCATGAGATTTGAACATGTTTCACGTTTACAATTGAGTAGCTAGAAAAGTGAAACAATTCAGGTCATGACAGATAACTATTTTATTTTATTTTATTTTTTAAAATTAAGTTTATACATTACTTTTCAATGCATTTCTTTGTTACGTGGATTATTTTTACTTTTTAAATGTAAGCCACAATATAAATATATTTTTGAGAGATAATGTAAGCCACAATTTGAAAACAAAGAAAATAGTAGTTTTCAATTTTTTTTTTGTTTTTTAAATTTGGACAAGAATTTAAAAATTTTCTAAAAATATGAGAAAAATAAACTTGCAAAAATTGCGAAGGAGAGTATCACTTCTAAAACTAAAAAAACGTTAGAAATGAAGTTGTTATTAAACGGAAGTCTTAGGATAAAAAAATTATTTTTAAATAAAACTACTTTTTCTACTTCACCTGTGCCAGAATTAATAATTTATTGTTTGTTTAGGGTGTGTTTGGGAGTGATGGTTGAAAAAATCAAATTTTATATTTTCCTAAAATCAAAATTAATTACTGATTTTGAAAAAATATATTTAAGTATAATTGATCGATTCTCTAAAATCACCACCATGATACCTTAAAAATCAATTTAAAAGTGATTTTAAGCTTTCTAAAATCAATTTTTTAATTTGTCAAACATGTAAAAGAAAGTGATTTTGACAATAGCAAAAGTCAGACATACCCTTAATTTATTTACTAATTGATTTTAGATAACGAAAATTGATTTTTAAGAAATCTACCATGTTTGGTAATAAATAAAAATATTTTTAAAAATCAGATTAAAGTCTATTTTTCAGATAATTATTTAATAATTTATTTAAAGTGATTGATGCTTTTTTTAGAGATGCTTACTATAAAAAAAAAAAGAAGAAAAAAACTAGAAAAAAGAAGTGCAAACAAATTGTTTTGATAAAAAGATATATCAAACTCAGCTTTGAATGTGTCTTCATGGTTGGCATAAATTGGCTACTTTCGTATAAATAATGCACTATTCCTCCCAAACACTCACTCCAAATTCTCACCATCTCTCTTCCCTCCCATCAATCAATATACACACACAATCAATTCTTCCTAATATATAACGATGTCTTCGACCTCTACTCTCGACTTCAAGGTACAAAGATGTGAACCAGAATTAGTTGTTCCAGCAAAACCTACACCCCATGGATACAAACGACTTTCTGATATCGACGATCAAGAAAATTTAAGATTTCAGCTTCCACTAATACATTTCTATCAACATAATCCAAACATAAAGGAGAGAGACCCAGTGAAATTGATAAAAGAGGCAGTTGCAAAGGCACTGGTGTTTTACTATCCTTTTGCAGGCAGACTAAGAGAAGGGTATGATAGGAAATTGTTTGTAGAATGTACGGGTGAAGGAATCTTGTTCATCGAAGCAAATGCAGACGTGACTCTAGTACAACTTGATGATGCTGATCTTCAACCCCCATTTCCATGTTTGGATGAGCTTCTTTATGACATTCCAAACTCTAATCAAATTCTTAATTGTCCATTATTGCTCATCCAGGTATAGTTGATTTGTTAGTTCATTCATTTTATACTTATTTATGATGGATGTGTTAAAAAAGTATATTGAAGATTTATATTAGTAAACTCCCTATAATGTATAAAATTATCTGGTTTGAAAGAAAATATATAAGGGATTGGGTATTTCTTAATGGCATTATTACCTCTTTCTTTATATTACAAATTGGGATAGATATTTATCTCTAATATAATTTTAAAATTGCAAACATACCTTTAATTAATAATAATAATTTATACTTTATGTTTCCATTAATTTTATTAAAATTAAAAAAATGTTTGTGTTCTATAATATGAGTCACGTTAAATTAAAAATGTTCTTGAAATGTTAATCATATTTTAAAAGTGTAGAAGTTAAAGTTCAATTTTAAAACTTATATCATGTTTTGTTTTATAATATAAAAACATTTTCTTTGTAGTAAAAACATCCCATATATTTGGGTTAAAGGTGAGTTTTAGTTGGGTTTTGTAATCCTTTAGAGCAAGTTTTGTTAAGCCTTATTGCTAATGTATGTGATTTGCATCTAGCTGGTAAATCACTTCTCCACTGTAATTAGTTCAAAATTATCATCATTACTTTTAATGAGAATCGAATAGTCGAATAAACACGTTTGGAGAGAAAATCCAACACTAGAAAACTACTAAAATTAACCTAAAACCATATGACTAATTTTATTACTTAAATCGGTCATGCAGGTGACGCGACTCAAGTGCGGTGGTTTTATTTTTGCTATTCGTGCAAATCATACAATGAGTGATGGCTTTGGTATTGTCCAATTTATGACAGCTATAGCAGAGATGGCTCGTGGAGCTCCTGCTCCATCTATTCTTCCGGTGTGGCAAAGGGCTCTCTTAAATGCGAGGGACCCTCCAAGAGTCACTTGTGTCCACCATGAATACGACCAAGTTGGTGACACCAATGGCTCCATCACTCTCCTCAACGACATGGTTCAACGCTCCTTCTTCTTCGGCCCAACTGAGCTATCTGCCATTCGCAAAACCTTACCCACCCACCTCCGCCATTGCTCCTCCTTCGAGCTCCTTGCAGCCTACTTATGGCGCCTTCGTACCACAGCCCTTCAGCTCAACTCAGAGGACGAAGTGCGCTTTCTTTGTATCGTGAACTTACGCACCAAGTTCAACTCTTTACCATTAGGTTACTACGGCAATGCATTTGCTTTTCCTGCTGCACTCACCACCGCTGGCGAGCTTTGTCAGAATCCATTAGGTTATGCTATAGATTTGGTAAAGAAGGCTAAGGCTGAGGCGACAGAGGAGTACACGAAGTCTGTAGCAGATCTTATGACGATCAAAGGACGACCCCATTTTACTGCAATAAGACCATACATTGTATCAGACATTAGAAAAATTGGGTTGGAGGAGGTAGACTTTGGATGGGGAAAGGCAATTTATGGAGGACCTGCAGTGGGAGAGGCTGGAATGATGCCTAGTTTGATAAGCTATTTTATACCTTTGAAGAACAAAAAAGGAGAAAAAGGAATTTTGGTGCCTCTTTGCTTGCCTGCTACAGCCATGGAAAGATTTGTGGTTGAACTTGAAGATGACTTATTGAGGGCAAAACAACTGGTTAATGAAGTTGAGAATCATAGTATTAATAATCCAACAACCATTGCATCTGCTCTATAACAATATGTTCGTGATATTTCTCAATGTCATATTTGACATTTTAAAATTTTCAGTATCTTTTATCATGTAATGAATAAAAATCGAGTTTTTGCCGTGTAAATGTTAGGATAATGATAATACATAATAGTGCGAATTTAAAAAATAATAGTTGGGATAATTTATATATAAAATGTCTTTGGTTCAATATCTTTGTTCATGTTGTTTCACAAGTTCTATTTTAACCCTTCATTTTCAAGCTGTGTAAAAAAAGTTCCTTCGTAGCTAGCTAGTGAAATAAATACAGTTGACAAACCGTATAAAAAAGGTCCTTGGTTGCTGGTGAAATAAATATAGCTGACAAACCGATTATATTGTTATGGGTGAAATCATCTCATCAAATTCCCATGAATTGAAGTTAGGAAAAAGTGACATGGATCAAGTTATTCGAGTCAAACTACCTACGTCAGATTATCTAATCAAACCAAACTCAAGCCGACTCCAATCCAGTCGAGGCGGTCTATTCGAACCAACCCAAAGAGATTCCGCTATTAATAAGAAGAGAGACTCTGGGGCGTGAGGTACACTTTCACAACTCTATTTTTACTATTCTTAAACTCAATTTTTGCTGATTTAAGCATTGGGAAAGTGTGTTGAGTTTAACACCACACTAGCGTGCACATCTATTTTGTAAATGTGCACATCTATTTTGTAAGTGTTTTGTGCGTACGGCTTATTAATTGAGTAAAAAGTATTCTACGTTTTGAATAAAAGACAAATAAGTATACCACTTACTTCTAAACTGCAAAACACAAGTTCATATTCATGACTTTAGAGTTTGTATAGTTCTCTCTAACGGTCCACCTGTTATGAAGATAAAAAGTTGTACTAAAATATAATTGAGTACCTAAAGCTTACTACCAACTAGGAAGCAAATCTACTTTCACCATTTGAAACAATAAACAAGAGGCGAGCAGTGGCGGTCGGCGGCATCAAACGGAGGCAAGTGGTGGTTTTTATGGAGGTAGGTGGGCGGTCGCCGAATACAAAACAGAAGGGGCGGTCGCGGACGACAACGTCTCGAGTAGCAGAGGGGGTCGACGAAGAAGAGGAAACACATGGAAAGGGAAATGAAGGCAGCGGAGAAAGGGAAACGAAGGCAGCTGGGGGGTGGGGGCGGTCGCAGGAGAGAAAACAGAAGGGAAAGGAAAAATTGGGCAAAAAAGAAAGAAGGGTTTGAAATTGATTTTATAAGACTTTTGGCAACGAAATTTAAAGCGTCACCAAAAGTCCCAAAAGTTCGTTGCCAAAAACTGGGGTTCGATTTCAAGAAAATTTTCGGCAGTCAAAATCCCACCCAACGACTTTTTGCGACGAAACGCCAGAAGTCGGGACTTTTGGCGACGAATATAGATTTCGTCATCAAAAGTCTATCTAATTGCTATTTGTCGCCAAAAGTTGGACTTCTGACGACGAAATTTCCGTTCGTCGCCAAAAGAAAATTCGTGGCGTCGTGAAATCCTCCATCGTCAGAACCTAAAATTCTTGTAGTATCTCTTCAATTCTCTTAAATCTATGAAAGCTAGTAAAGCTATTCTTACTCATCATCTATGTCCACCTCATGGTCTCTATCCTGGTGACCTATATCACTAACTTCTCTTTCTTCCCGTGTGTTGTTTTATCCGGTATCTTGAGTTTCAAATTCTTAACATATACGTGCATTCTGCCTCTCCTTGATACATGACTTTCCATAATGTAATGCATATCACACATTCACTAAATAAACTATAATAATGCATCTACTACTCCATCATATGCAGGATTTTTACTCTCATGATACCAAACTGACACGACTCGCACAAAACCTTATTAGTTCTAGAACGAGCCGTGCAGACCACAGATCCCGATTAGCTACGAAGTTCGTTGTCAAACTCCTTCTTTTCCTAAGTTAGAACTTTTACAGAATATCTATTACACATCCCAAACTTTCCTTTTTCTTACCTTGTTTTTTCCTTTGGCCAAAAGACCAAAATTTCTTTTATAACGTTTAACTCCAAAAGTTCAATTTTTTTTTTTTAATTTTCTCTCTCTCTTTTTTTAAAGCCGAAAAGACAGAAACACTCTTGCATCTTTTTTTTTCTTAGAAACAAAAAATTACAATTTAAATGATCATTTTGAACTAAATTTTCCACCCAAATAAGAATATGGTACTCACTCTTCCATTAAATCCTCTTCCAACGTCTTCTGTGTTAAACCATGCGCTACACTGTTTGCCTCCCTCCTAATGTGATTCATTGAGATTATTCTATTGTCCCCTCCGATTACTCTTACATCTATTTATTGTGATATAAAAAGGGCGACACATATTTTCAATAATTGTTTGTGTCAAATACGAACACCTTACTCTAATTAAGTGTCTGTACTTTGGTAGAATGGGTGGTTGGAGGTCAAGTTAGAACTTTTAAAGTTGTGCAAGCAGACTCTCAAATTCTAATCGCTGGACAAAGTTGGAGAACTTCAATAGAATTACAAATTAAACATATGAAAAAGAAAAAAAAAATAAAGTCTTGATACATGCATTCAGTTGATTGAGTCAAATTTAAATTTGAAACTTTGATTTCATTAAATAAATTTATTTTTTGAAGAAAGATTCATTAAATAATTGAATCATATAAATTTAAATAAAAGTATGGGTAAAATTAACATCCATTTTACTTATTTAGTTGACTTATTTATTCTATTGTTCTATCCAGATTCATAAAAGTAAGATACTATTGTTTGAGTGAAATTAGCTTATTAATCCGTCGATTTATGCTTAAGTAGGTCAATTTTCTAATCACTATGAACGTAATTTAAGCATAGTTTGATAAATGACATATACGTATTCTCTTAAAGTTGGAAGTTAAAATCTTCATACCCCACATTTCTTGTATTGAAAAAGGAAATTTTCCAATATTGATCTAGATTGTATTTAACCTATATTTAGTTTATGATATATAATTTGAAAAAATTAGAAAATTTTTCACCCTCAAATTAAAATTTTTAACAATTTAAATTCTACCATTGTAAACCATTTTTTCTATTGTCATTCTTAACGAGTCATATTAGCTTGGGTGATATAATTTTGACTTAATTCATATTAACATCAAATTCAATATCTGGAATATTTCAGATCATCCATCCCTCGAGAAAATTCCACAAATTTATTGGATTCCCTCCATAAGGCTAGGCTTAAACAAAATTAGGATGTGTCGAGCAATCAAGTGACAAGTTCTCTCTTTTACTCATATTTTTCATTTAAAATATTAAATATATGAAAATTTTTATTTATTTAGTCTTGAATTAAATTTAATTTTGAAGTTTTAATTTCATTCAATTGAATCATAAATTGAAATTAATACCCTTATTAGTTGGGTTACTATTTTTTCTAGATTTTTTTTAGTACAACATGTAGGGTGGAAAGTATATACTAATATCGTTGAACTATGTTCGATTTCACTATTTCTTTTTTAGATTAATGGGTTTGGGTGGGGGTGTTTTTTTTAGTGAAACTTTGTCGTCATGTTTATCATTTTATCTAAATTATATTTAGGAATTTATTTTTCATGGTAAAAGTATCCACAAATCTATTCTCATATGTTACTTTATGATCTTATTTTATATTTTCTTTTATTTTGCTCTATGGTTGCAAAATTTTCATTTTAAAAATATGAACGGATTGCTTCCTCAAATCGATATATTTTGCTTTTCAATATTTCAAATCTATTAAAATTTTAAAATAAATATGTTTTTTTATACAATTTAAAACAAATATGTTGAATTTTAAACCTAACGTGTTTAACACTCACATCAATCATTTCTATTAAAGTCCTCAATTTTTAACCTCATCTATCATTCATCATATTTTGGTTTGAATTTTTCAAACATAGGTCACCCAACTTATTATTATTCTCGCTTGAATATGTTTAACGGTGTAGTTCTAATATAATCCGATGCATTAATGTTGATATTTATTTTCTTGACAATCAATTGTAGTAGGTTCAAATGATTGTACCATGATATTAGTCGAAGTAGGCACAAACTAGTCTAAACACTCATAGATATGAAAAGAAAAAAAAAATCAAATATAGGCAAGGGTTCACTAATTTTTCTCTTCATTATTTATTGGTTAAAAATACTAGTTTGATCTCTGTACTTTCAATTTTAGTTCATTTTAGTTTCTATATTTTCAAAATGTTTATTTTGGTCCATGTACTTTTAAAAAGTGACTATTTTGGTCATTTAATTTTATTCTTAATCTCGTTTTTTTCTATCACAATTTCAACGTACACGACATTAAAGTCAATATCAATATCTTTATCTATAAATAAGGCACACTCCTGTGCACATTTCTCACCATCTCTCTCTCCTCCCAACTATCAGTACACACACCCATTTATTTCTAATAAAAATGTCTTCAACCACTACTCTCATCTTCAAAGTAAAAAGATGTCCATCGGAATTAGTTGTTCCAGCAAAACCTACCCCTTACGAATACAAACAACTTTCCGATATTGATGATCAAGAAAGCTTAAGATTTTAATTACCACTAATATTTTTCTATCAGCATAATCCAAACATGGGAGGGAAAGTTCCAGTGAAGGTGATAAAAGAGGCGGTTGCAGAGGCGCTGGTATTTTACTATCCTTTTGCAAGCAGATTAAGAGAAGAACATGGTAGGAAGTTGTTTGTAGACTGTACGGGCGAAGGAATCTTGTTCATCGAGGCAAATGCAGACGTGACTCTAGAACAATTCGATGATGCTCTTCAACCCCCATTTTCATGCTTGGATGAGCTTCTTTATGACATTCCAAGCTCTAATGGAATTCTTAATTGTTCATGATTGCTTATCCAGGTATAGTTGATTTTCGTTCGTTATTTTATACTTATTCATTATCAATAATATATTAAAGAAAAAGTATACTGAGGATGTATATTAGTAAACTCCACACAACAAATTATTTGAGCTGAAAGAACATATATAT